AATGATAATGCCATTGAGCGTCAATGACTATTTTGCCCTTTGATGCAATTTGAATCTACTTGCGAGGGCCACATATGAAGATATTGAAGAGGGGAAATGGGAAATGCAAAAAACTAAAATTGAAATGACAGCCACAAACGCATATGAATTGATTGCCATCGTCCTTTTGTCTAGCATGGGCCCAAACTTGCTAAAAAATGGTTGGATTCTTAAAATATTCATAAGCCATTCAAACAAATCAAGGCAGTTCACTATCAAACTTGGATTCTTGGAACGTCCCGACAGTAATAATTGGGCACACTGCACGTCTGGCCGCTTTATGTATGAAACACCATTTTGATTTATTTAGTTACCATATCCATATTTTATCTAGCATGGCTGACACCATTGTGCTGTATCCCTCTCCTGGAATTGGCCACTTGATTTCCATGGTGGAGCTGGGGAAGCTCCTCCTCAAGCACCGCCCTTCATTCTCCATAACAATCTTCATCACCACCGCTCCATACACCACCGGCGTCACCGCACCCTACATAAACCACGTTGCTTCCACCACTTCTTCCATCACTTTCCACCAACTATCCACTGTCGAACTTTCTCCCACTTCCGCCGCCATCCCTTTCGAAGAACTTCTTTTCGAAATACCCCGCCTGAACAACCCTTACCTCCACGAAGCCCTTCAGAATATATCCCAGAAATCAAATCTCTTAGCCTTTTTCATAGATTTCTTCTGTAACGCCGCTTTCGAAGTCTCTTCAAAACTTGGAATTCCAACTTATTATTTCTACACCTCAGGCGCTTCTGCACTTTGCGTTTTCTTACATATTCCAACCCTCCACGAAACCATTACAAAAAACATCAAAGATGTACATGATTATATTAAAATTCCTGGCACCCCACCAATTTATTCTCAAGATTTACCAAAAGTTCTATTTGATCGTGAAAGTAGAATATACAAACTGTTCTTAGAAACTGCCGTACAGATGGGAAAATCATCTGGGATTTTGGTAAATTCTTTTGAAGCTCTTGAATCAAGAGCAGTTAAAGCATTATCTGATGGTTTGAGTATTCCAAATTCACCAACCCCTCCTGTACATTGTATTGGACCTCTAATTGCAAGCAAAGATAACGGCAGTAACAATGATGAACACGAGTGTTTGAGTTGGCTAAATTTACAGCCCAGTAAAAGTGTAGTTTTTCTGTGTTTTGGGAGTATGGGATCGTTCACGGCAGAGCAGCTACAAGAGATGGCGGCAGGGTTGGAAAATAGCGGCCACCGGTTTCTTTGGGTGGTCCGTAATCCACCCACGGATGATGAAACCAAGGGCAATTCAGCACCAGCAGAACCAGACTTGGATGCTTTGCTGCCAGAAGGTTTTCTTATCCTCACGTCTAATAGTTGCTAGCGATATGCGGTGTGTATTAACTATTAACATTTTCCAAAATCTCTTTCTTTTTAAATATATTTATTTTCAACCATATATTCATACAATAAAATATTTTTTATGTAAGCCCATAAATTTTCTATAATTTTTAACCACACATTCTTAAAAAAAATAATAAAAAAAAAATCATCATTTCAAAATTCATTTTTCCAAAAAATCACTTTTTAATGAGCATCAAATATGGGCTAAATTTAAATTCATACAAATAGGTCCCAATCATTTCTTGTCGTCAAAGTTTAATGTGCGTAACCATTTTATATATATATATATATATATATATATATATATATATATTGTTGTTGATATATATATATATATATATATATATATATATATATAAAATGGTTACGCACATTAAACTTTGACGACAAGAAATGATTGGGACCTATTTGTATGAATTTAAATTTAGCCCATATTTGATGCTCATTAAAAAGTGATTTTTTGGAAAAATGAATTTTGAAATGATGATTTTTTTTTAATTTTTTTTTTTTTTTTTTTTTTTTGTAAATGGTGACTAAGCGACTTGAAAATAATTTCTTTATTTTTTGGCATGATATGCCGCTAACAGTTTCATCCAAAAATTTAAGTAGTTAGGTCATCTCCAACAGTACTGGACCAAACTAAAATTTATTTCCAATCATTATGTCAAAACTTACATCAAATAAATAGTGTTTAACCGCCTTCTTTCCTTTTTTATTCTTAATAATTTATTTATTTAAAATATTATTTATTTAATTATTTTATAAATACATAAATTACTAAATAAATAATTACGAAAAATTACTGAAAATATTAAATTCATTAATAAATGTAAAAAACATAGTACAATTAATCAAAACACTACAATAATGAAAATATTAAATCATGCCATTAAAAAATAGTTACGATATTACGAAATCGAAATATTATTGCAATCTAATTCTTGAATTTATATCATTTTCTTTAAATAAAATTAGATATTGTATATATGTAATTGTTTAATATATTTCGTGTTAATTTTAAGAAATAATTGTGTTTGTTATATTTTAAAATTCTTTTCTTCTTTTAATTAATTCATTAATTATTATTTTTTACATTTAAAATTTATTTTAAATACAAATAATAATTTATTGTATTAAAAAATATATAGCAAAAATGACAAAAATACTCTTAATCAATTTATTTGAGAAATTAAAAGAAAGGGTAAAAATGACTTTATACACTTTGCACCATTTTGGTGCAAAGTGAATCGTATTGCACCATAATGGTGCAAAGTATAGTATTGTATTGGAGTAGTTTTGCACCTAAAATGGTGCATTTTGATGTTTTGAGTTATACATTGAAGATGGCTTAGAGAAGAGTAATGCTTATTTATTTAAAATTTATTTTTGATAGGTTTCTTGGAAAGAACCAAAGACAAAGGACTTGTGGTGAAGTCGTGGGCACCACAACTAGAGGTTTTGAATCATGATTCAATAGGGGGATTTGTGACTCACTGTGGATGGAACTCAGCTTTGGAGGCTATTTGTGCTGGTGTGCCAATGTTGGCTTGGCCACTTTATGCAGAGCAAAGGATGAATAGGGTTTTCATGGTGGAGGAATTGAAGGTGGCACTGGGTTTAACTGAGTCAACTAATGGGTTCGTTACAGCTGTTGAGTTGAATAAGCAAGTAAGAGAGTTAATGGACTCGGACAATGGGAAAGCGGTGAAGGATCAGGTTATGGTTATGAGAAATTGTGCCAAGGCTGCAATTCAAGATGGTGGTTCATCCCGTGTAGCCTTGGAAAAGCTCATTGAGTCCTGGGCGAAGGGATGATGCAATTGTTAACGGGAATGTAATAGTTGTGTGCGTCTATGGATTCATATCCCTTTCAATTATCATTTGCAATTCAATAAGATCATCTCATTATGTGTTAGCGAATTGTTATTTAATCATATTCAATCTTCAAAATACTAAATTTGTCATATGCCAATGTTCGATATGCAGCTTTAGAAAATGATGTACAAGTTTTCGTCTTCTTTTCTTTAATACAATACACAATAGTGAAGAAAATGAATGAACTAGATTTTGTTTCTTTCCTTTTCTCAATCTTTAATATGTTTATTATTCTAAATTTTTTTTTTTGTTAATAATCATTTCGTGAACTCAACCTACAAAATTAAGATATCTACCTTATAATACATAAAAAATTTTAAGTTTTTAAAAAGTAGGAGTGGGCGCGATCCGGTTCCAAAGGGAATTGAATCGAATCGAATACCTATGAGAATTTTAGAATTGGAACGGAACCAATCGGTTTTGTCTAGTCCGGTTATTTACATTGAAAATGTCAAAATAAAATGTTCACTAATAAAAAATCTAAAGTTGCTATTAGCATGATACTTTTAACAAAATATAGAAGAATCGAAAATACTATTCAAAGATTAAAAGAAAACTAAGTATACAAATTTAAAAACAATATCCAAATAATATAAGTTACTATCATCAAGCAATCATCAACTTAAATAAGCTGCACAGTACTCCAATGATTAAAGAAACTTTCATCAAAACCAAAATCCTACATTGAATTGGACACCCTTTAAAAATTTATTGCAACTTCTAATTATGTCAGTAATTATTTATAGAAATCTAGATGAAAAGTTTTGTTCGGATCAACAACTGTATAATCAAAGTGAAAACAAAATAAAATTTTCGTATCTTAGAAATGAAATTATATATTGTAAATAAATATATTTAGGTATAGATTTACCCTGCTCCTATTTGAGCCATATTCTTTGAAACAATTCATTCTTAAAAAGTGAGTTGATATCCACTACACCAAAAATAGTCTATTGCAATACATAAAAGGCAACATTCGATAGTTAAGTGTGTGCTAAACTGTCTATTGCAACATTTGAATAACTGAATGTTGCAATTAGTCAATGATATTGAGTTTCGGCAACATTTTTAAAATAAATGTTGCCAATGATACTTTTTGCAACGTTTTTGGAAAGTTGCGAAAAGTTTTATTTTTTGCAACGTTTAAGAAACGTTGCGAAAAACCTACTTTTTGCAACGTTCTAGAAATTCTCAAAAGCTAGAATTCAATGAATATGGTCAAGTTGTTGGGCAGAACTCGAAAAAAATTTCTAGCGTAGTTGGGGCCATGGTACGGAAACATGTGTCTGTTGTAATTAAAGATTGGACTTCAATGAATGAAGAGACTAAAAATGGAGCTCTGGACTTTCATACAGGTAACATTTCGTAACTACCTTTTGAGATTATTACGTTGTATTTATTTCTTTCTTAATGATACCATTTTCTAAAGTCTTAAATTCATGCTTGTGCATAAATATAGCAAAGGTTCAATGTCAATGATTGTCATTAAAGAACGATATTTAAATGTATGGGAAAGTACTGGAGGACATTCAAATCAAGATTGAGAAAACAAATTAGAACTCAAGTTGAATCATCTGTGAATAGAGTACGCACTATTACCCTTCTTAGACCAAAGAATGTCAACTCTGAAGAAGTCTGGGTTAAATTTGTTAAGGATACTCTTTCTGCTGATTTTCATGTAAGTATATTTGCGTGTAAAGATTAACCATTATTTTAATTATTGTTGTTTTATACTTCGTTCTTTTTTCAATAGGAGAGAAGTTTTAGGTTCAGCAACATGCGAACTAATCAGAAGCTTCTCCATACTGTTTATCCACGTTTGGCTTATGAAATGGTACTTCTTACGAACATATCATGTCTTCTTACTTGAATTGTCCAATTTCAATATATTTGATTACTACATTTGTATTGCAGAAGAAAAAGAATCTACATTTAAAAGGGTTAAGAACAGAAGTATGAAAATATGGACATCTCAGAAAAGATGGAAAACCAATTAATGAAGCAGTTGCCGAAACATTGGTATGTGTATTAAACTAATGTTCAATTAAGCATAATTTGATTTATTAGTTGTATCACTTGCTACTATTTGATTTGAGTTCCATAAGTACAGAAAAAGATTAAAGATTGTGCCACATCAATTTTCGATACGCCTGCTGAAGATTCCATCCGTGATGATGCTATAGCTTGAGTTTTTGGTCCCCGAACATCATGGGAGAGTCAGGGGACTCGAATTTGGAGTTGTACCATCAAAAGTGGATGGACAAATACAAAGTAGGGAGAGTTAGAGAACTTGAAAGCCAAGTACAGATTCAGACACAAAAGATGGGGGCATTAGAAGAAAAAATGGAAGCATTTATCAAATTTTCTCAGCAGGCTATAAGTAGTTATTTTTTATATATTTCATGATTATATAGCTTTATATAGCCAATTACATGAATAATAATTTTGTAATTTTTGTATCATTATACAGAATGTGGAGGATAGAAATTCAAATGCTTTTACTCAGGTTTCCGTTTCCTATATTATTAAATGTTTATTTAATATATATTCAGTTTGTAGCATTCTAATTTTAAAAAGAATACTTTCTGTTTATTATGAATTTGTAGTCACACCAAAGAAGTGGTGTCCAAGGAAGTACAACCCCCAAGATAATGCAAGATGTCAACTGTTGCATTGGTACATGTTTGAGGAGGAAGAAGTCGTAGCAAAAGGGAAGATTGCCACAACAGACCCAAATGCAAAAGTGCATCACTTGCCAATTGATCGAGACTATTGGAAGGTTTGGGTTGAAGAAGTCTATATGGGTAATTTGACTCTATACAGACCCACAAATGAATTTCGCACTCTTAGTGAAGCCATGAGAAGTACTGTTGCTTGACCAAAGAGCAATATTAGACTTCTTGATTAAGGTATAATTTCTGGATTTATAACATATACGCGTCCAATTTTCATTTTCTTTCAATCCCAAATAGTATTTAGTGTTGGTTGGTTGGTTGGTATGTATGAAGTGGTTTCATGTAATTGGTTGGTTAGCTAGTGAGATTTTGGCAGTGAGGATTAATAGGTTACTTG